GTTCCCGCCGCAGCAGGGGGGAGCGAGGCGCGCCGGTGTCCCCGGGAGGGCTGTGGGGTGCTTTGAGGTGTTACCTGGCTTGTCGCGGTTCGGTTCAGTTGTGGGCTGGTTTAAAAGTTGTTCAGGAGCGTGCAGTGCCGCTCGCTCTGGAAGAGCCGCATCGCTGCTCACCCTGGTCTGGCGCCCTCCCCACACGGCCTTTAGGCCCGCATCGCTGTACAGGGGCCAGGCCTGCGGACAGCTGTTGTGTGGGCATCTGTGCCAGGGGAAGTAACCGAATTATTTGATCTCTGAAATATCAGTGAAGGGCCTTTCTGTTCCTGGGGTTAGTTACAGGGAAGTCATGCTAAAAAAAAAAAAAAGTAGCAGTCCTACAAATCTAGGTTCTTGGAAGAGATTTAAAGTAATTCTTGCAGTAATGATATGGTAGTGTGCATGTTGGACACGCTGAAAGGTAACTTGGGTTTTATCAAAAGCTGTCATCAGGTATTCAGATTGTGTAAATCTGCCTTTCAACTATTGACTTAATTGGAGCTCCAGTAATGTAAGTTAACTGAGGAACTGATCCCTTGATTTCTCCAAGCTGGACAACATACTCTTGATTATTACTTTTGCCAGTATCTTTAACACTTAAATGTAAAATTATTAACATCTCTATTGTAACACTTAAGAATTTTCTCTTAACTTCACCCTATTAGGGGTTTTTTGTTCATTTTATGTTAATAACAGTAGAAAATGAAAGGTCAGTCACCAATTTGACCAATTACAGTATCGTAAAATGCATGCCGTTTATATAATGTTTCCTAATAATACGCTGGTCTTTCTGTGGCTCTTTATCTGGGCAGGTATATATATAATCCCAAAATGAGATTTAACTTCTTTATATCAAATTATTTTCAGGTGATAAGTTATTAGGGAGATTATGAATTTTGCTTTTAAAATTTGGAACTAATGTTTACATTTTGGCCAAATCATGTTTTCTCAAACACTGAAACTTTACTGCTTTTACTTAAGTAGGTTTGCATAGGACAAGGAAAATATTAAACATTCTTTGGTCTTTTTCTTTTTGCAGACCTTTTACATCTAAATATAAATGTGTATGAAATTAATGGGACTGTGGGTTTCATGTTCTTAGCTTTATGTGCCAACATCAACTTCACAGGCAATTTAGCAAAAAGAAGCAGCTTGGTCTTCTCCTATACTAGTTGTTTATTCTTCCATCTCCTCTTCTTTCTAGGACGTGTCCAGTGAATCAGGTGTGGAAACTCATTTGGGTGGGATGTAACTAGCTTTTTTTCTTTTGTCCACCTCATGGTTGGTTGTCCCCAAGATCGGTTCTCTGATCTGGTTCATAGTGTGGCCATGTGAATGCTTGCGCTGCTGACAGAGCCAGGAACAAGGGGCTGACGGGACGTAAGAGTGCCTTCGTTGGCAGTAGTATTGGCTTAGCAAAACTATGGCTTCGGTAGTTTCAGTAGTTCCAGTGACCTGCAATGTGGAAATTCATAGAAGAGGAAAAACTTTAGTACTAAAATTTGCCAATAGAGCTTTCCCAAAATATAATGGTAAAAGCAAAAATGTGATCTTCCGTGATACAGAGTTTTTCCAGAAAATGTTACAAGATGAAGCATCTTGTCCGTTTTCACAGTACAGGTAAATTAAGTAGGCACCTCTGGACGTGTATAAAAGTATTTTCTCTCTCCGTGCAGCATTTTGGTTGCGAAGGTTCTTATTTGTCATATGATACAGATAACTTAAATAGATCTCAGACAATACTTCAAGGTTGGTTGAATGCGTTTTGAATTGCAGTAAGTATAGCTGTTTTAAGCAGCAGAGCTAACCATGTCTCTTCACAGCAGTGCCACATATGCTGTTTTTATTTAGAAGACAGTAGAAAAGTAATAGTGGAAACAGGAATTTCTAGGATTCCCCAAGAAGTACGTTATTGTCTGTCAGTGTTACTAAGGATGAAAATCTGTGTGCATTTTCTTCACAATTTCTGACAAGTTTTTTTCCCCTTATGGGTGTTTTCCAGATAAGTGGTTGAACACAGCACATGTCTAAGTATGCAGTCGGCTAATGTGCTTCTGAAAAAAATTGTAAGATGTTCTGTCCTTCCATTTGCTGCACAACATGGGATGAAAAAGGATTTGTTTCCACTCAGTAGAACTCTGAGTTTATCACTTTGCCTGAAGCAGGACAATTCATGCAATCCCTCAGAAAAACTAGATTTAGATGCATGGAAGAAGGTCATGAAGTCTGGGTTGCAAGAAGTCAGTGAGACTGTCTCTGAGCACAAGGAGCTTTCCACTTTGGCTGCTGCACGTGAGATTTTGGAAATGTGGAGACTAGCCGGCAGATCGGTTCCAGAAAATATCAGTGAAGAACAGCTAAAAATCTTTATGGAATGTCCTTCCAAGTCAGCCAAAAAGAAGTATTTAAAATACTTGCATCTGAAAGAACTTTACAAGAAAAATGACAAAAGAAAGATGGATGAGAAAAGGCAAAGGAGGCTGGAAACAGCTTCAAAAACTGATGAGACTAGAAGGAATTCATTTGTATGTTTGTGGGCCAACGGTATGGATAGAGCATACAGCTGGAGGGTTGCTCAGTCCATGATCTTTGGCCAACCTCTAGTATTTGACATGTCTTACGAAAAAGATATGTCCGTCCGAGAAGTTGCAAATACAGTAAGACAGATAGTATTAAGCGAATCGTGCAATCGAAGATCTGTGGATCCGTTCCACATCCACTTCTGTAACTTCAAAGACGACAGCCTCTATCATAAGGAATTTATGAAGCATTATAGAGAGGCGTGGGGCAAGCTGCTTATCACTGTGACAGACCAGTGCTACACAGATGTCTTTCCAAAGGATAAGCTTATCTATCTGACTGCTGATTCTCCCAAAGTAATGAAAACATTCGATCACGATAAAATCTATATTGTCGGGTCAATGGTTGACAGGAGCATAAAAACAGGAGTCTCTTTAGCACAGGCAAAGCGACTGGGGCTGGAGACCGCAGCCCTTCCATTGGAGAAGTACTTGCTTTGGAATACTGGTGCCAAAAATCTCACGCTGGATCAAATGATGCATATTTTGTTAACCTTGAAAGATACTGGAGACTGGAAGAAGGCTCTGGAATATGTTCCAAAAAGGAAATATTGTGGCTTTGTAAGCAAGCCTGTGCATGAACTGAAAAAAACCTTAAACCTGATCAACACACTTAAACTTGGAAAGAGACAGGAAGAAGTACGAAAGCAATTTGCCAAGAACTACTCTAAGAGGCTAATGCAAAAGTAGAGTGATGGGGAAGAGCATGATTTATTACGAGCAAACTGTGCCCTTGAATGCTCCGGTTTCTCGGGACTTCTGGAATTGTATTCGGCTATTTATCTCTAAAAATGCCTTTATTGGTCAAGTTTGAAAGGACTGTTGTTAGGGATTTTTTTTAAAATTAACTTAGTATTCCAGCTGTTTGAATTTATTCACAGATCATTGAAAGTATGTAAGAGAAATGAGATAATCTGTTCTAAAAAATTACTCTGTACAAAAAATATAAATCTGTTCAGTTGAATCATGCTGGGACAGGGGTGAGTGTAACTGAATGCAAAGGCTGTTCTTCAGAGAATACCTCAGTGCTTTGGGTTTGCAGGTGGAGGCCATCCACAGTCATCTTCTAAAATGTTAGCTAAGATGAAATAGAAGAGACCCTTCCCTGTTACGTCCTGGATCCTCTTTTGGTGCGTAGATGAATTGACTTTTGATACCTGAGGCAAAACCAAGTGGTATAAACCTAGCATGAGTTTGGAGTTGCACAATTTGTTTCTGGGTGTTCTGTCTGGCACGAATTAAGTCCCTATTTGGAAGGAATAATCCAAATTTTCTTGACGTTGCCAAAAAAATACCTTACGTACTTTTGTGCAAGACATTTATCCCTGAATGCCTCTGTTTTCCATCCATATAATGTAGATATCCTGAAGTGCTGGAACTTTTGAGATGATACACTGCCCTATTAGTAAATACTTACAGGAGCAGAAAGCCTTGTATATTTCTCACAGCTGAAAATGTATTGATTGGTCTGTCTGTGAAAGTCTTAGTGTTCAGGCTGCAGAGCTACAATGGCTGTGGTGTTAAATACTGTTCTTTCTGCTGTCTGGAGGAGGAGGAGGGGTTTCTTGGTGCCTTTACAGGTGCTTACGTCTTTTTGATTTAACCTAGTTAACTACCCCACCACTTGAAGTCAATGATGGCAGAGGGTGGGTTTTGTCCTGAAAATTCAAAAACTGTGAGCGGGGAATGTAATTTCGAAGAGTGGACTCCAAATATACCTGGGGTTGGCGATGATCCATTCCCTGTTGCGAGGAGGGGTTAGAAGGCAGAGGACGGCGCTACCCCAGTACTGCCCTTTACCCCCTGTGAAGCACGGGGGCCTCCGGGCGTGGAGAACCCCTGGCATTGAGAAAGACCTGCTTCGTTTCGGCCGTGTCTGGTGGGGTCGTACACAAAGCTTCATCCTGGGGCAGTGCGTGAGGTGCGGCTGAGGGCCGCCTCACAGCTCCCTGTCCAGCCCTCGGGCACAAGGAGCGGCTGCGCGAGTTGCCCGCCTCACCATAAAAACAGCCTCTTCTGGTCTGTGAACTGGTTTTTGCTTTGGGCAGGAAAAAACGTGACGTCATTGCTCGCTTGAGCTCATGTTGGTGGAACACGGAAGGTGATATTTAAACCACGAGCGGTGGGAGGCCGTGCCAGTGAGCGGGGCA